CCACACAATTCCATTGGAAAGGCATGCGTACATCTATCCAGAACTTCATAGCCGGGTGTGCAGTATGCCAACAAAACAAGTCGGCCACTACAACACCAGCAGGCCTCTTGCAACCACTCCCAATACCAAGCCAAGTCTGGGATGATATATCAATGGATTTCATCACAGGATTGCCTGTTTCTGCCRGCAAAACAGTTATCCTTGTGGTAGTGGATAGATTGACGAAATACAGTCATTTCCTACCTCTATCACACCCATTTATAGCAGTCATTGTTGCTGAATTTTTCCTCCGGGAAATTGTGCGCCTACATGGGCTACCCAGCTCAATTGTATCTGACAGGGACCCTATCTTTACGAGCCGTTTCTGGGCTGAACTTTTCCTCCTACACGAGGTTAAACTATTGAAGTCAACTAGCTACCACCCCCAATCTGATGGACAGACAGAGGCGGTTAACAAGAGTCTCGAAACATATCTGAGATGCTTCGCGGGAGATCAACCAAGACAATGGGTGAAGTGGATCCACTGGGCTGAATGGTGGTACAACACCACTTTCCATAGCGCCGCTGGGATGACACCCTTCAGAGCTCTATATGGTCGGGACCCTTCCCCTCTACTTCCTTATGAAAAAGGGACCACCACAGTAGCGGCCGTAGAAGAACAGGTGACGCAACGAGTTGAGGTGTTAAAGGAACTGAGACATCATCTCTTACAGGCACAGCAATGGATGAAGCACACCTATGGTAAACATCACAAGAATGTCCAATATGAAGTCAGTGATTGGGTGTTTCTCAAATTACAACATTTCAGACAGATTTCAGTTGCAAGCCGACAGTGGAACAAACTCAGCCCACGCTATTTTGGACCATTTAAAATCCTTGAGAGAATAGGGTCAGTGGCCTACAAGCTGGACCTTCCGGCAACATCAAAACTGCACCCTGTATTCTATATCTCCTTACTGAAGAAAGGGCTGAAGTCAGGAGTCATTACAAGTGCGACCCTTCCCACATTTTCAGAGGAAGGACAGGTGCAGACTGAGCCAGCCCACATCATCGATTTCAGATGGGTGTGCCGGGGTGGAAGAGTCATACCAGAAACATTAGTTGTTTGGTCTAAACTCCCAGAAGAGGATGCAACCTGGGAATCCTACTTAGATCTGCAATCAAATTTTCCCACATTAGACCCTGAGGGTAAGGTCGCTCTAAAGGAGGGGGGGGATTGTAAAGACTACTGGAACAGATCAACAGAAAGCAGTTAATCAGTTTTACAAGAGGAGGCCACATCAGCACAACTAATTGTCCACTTGCAACAGCTGTAACCGAAAGAAATGAAAGATTGTAAACAGTATAAGTAGTGAAGCACAAAGAGAAATAAGACAGTAATTCTTACGCCATTAATCTCTCTCTCTCTCTCTCTCTCCTTCCAACAAATTCAGGAGGTTGGCTCCCTCGAAGAGCCCTGAGATTGGCAGGTTCCTAACAATATTTAATCTATGTTCTGCCAAAAAACTATATATTATATAATATACAATGTTTTCGTAGCATATGAAGATAGTTATACATTATATTATATAGATATAAATAAAATTATATGCATACTCTTATTTAATATTATATTATTATGTTATATGGATATTTGAGATTGTTGAAGGACAATGTTGTCCAATTGATCTCTCAATTTAGTGTTGAATATTTTTAGAGGTGAGTAAACCTCTGAAAATTTTAGAGTAATTTTTAAATTCAGAGGTGTGCTTCGATGTAAAACTAAACTATCATATAACCTCTGAAAGCAAAAATTTCAGAGTTCAGAAAATGCCACTTGAGACTACTTGAGTGTCCTCCAGTTGAATCCATTCATTCATTGTTTCTCTTATTTATCCTGTCTGAAATGGCTCTTGCTTGTAGAGAAGATAACTAGTAAGTCATTACAATATTTATTCCACTGCTTCTTGTCCAGGTTTCATCCACATTGTATAGATATGACAGCAGAAGAAGCCAAGAGACTTGAACACTTCTTCTGTCAAGGTTGTTCCTCACAAGGTCAAAAGAAGTTGCTCAACTCTCACACTGCTCCCAGAAACTCAGAAACTAAGGTATGCTCACTGCTTTCAGCATTTATGTGTATTTGCTTACAAGATGACTTGCATATATTATACTTCCAAGAGATTTATTGCTGGCTTATTTCAACATGTAAAGCATCTGATATACTGATTTATGGTTTGTGTTCGTTGTTTTTCAATTCATTTAGACGAAGCAAGATCAATAAAATTGTCAGTTAAGATTACTAAGCTATTGAATTGCATTCATCATAATTTTGATGATAAAGCATTTGCTACCAATAAAAAAGATATAGCTTTTTTTTGGTCAACCATTGTGGCCACTGGGGTTAGCGGTAAAAGAATTGTGTTTCACATGATGTTCAGAACAAATGTGAGAAATTGCTCTCTTCTTTCCTTCTGTCCAATGTTCGGTACTGATGATCGTGCTTTACATTTTTTTCTCTTGCCATACTGCCACTCCAAGAAGGAAGAAAATAATCATTATTAGGTTTATAAATTGTCTTGATCAGAACAGTGTTATCCAGGAATAAAGGGGTGTTGGTGGCTAATTCTCCTCAACTTTAGGGGGGTAGAGGGGGGAGGTGATTAGGGGTGTTGGTGGTCCACATGGTCATCTAGGATATATTGGAGGGCAGGGACAGAAGGATCTTTATATCCCCTTTTGATTCTTTGTGAGGGGTTTTATTTTTTACTTGCTTGTGATATACCCAAAAGAAAATTTCAGGACTTCCTTTTTAATCTGCGATGAAAAAAATATCATTACAAGTAAAAAATGGAATTTAAGAATTCTTTTTTTTTTGATAATTGAGTGAAAATTTTATTAATCACCAAAGATAAGAGTTACAAGCAACCCAAGGAAAGGCACGAGATGTGACCTTTCCAGAAGATCTAATTACAACTTTTCAAATTCAACTAGAACAAGTTACAAAGTAGCCCAAAAAAGGACCTTCCCTGGAGACCCCTTGTTTTGGCTAATGAATCAGCCATGGTATTTGCCGACCTGCTCACCCATTGAACATTGATTCTCATATTGCTAGTTAACCATTTTTCTTTTTTGAGGAGGTTTCTATAGCCCCAAATGACAGAATCTGGGTTTAACAGCCACCCCACTACCACCTGAGAGTCTCCTTCAATTAGAAGATGTTCCACCCCAAGCTGGTTCACAATTTGGATCCCTTGTACAGCAGTTAGTATCTCTGCCCTTGTAGAGTCTCCCACTCCCACAGGTCCAGAAAATAAGAATTATTGGTTACTTAAAGCGAAAAGGAGAAACCAAGAATATGAAGGCAGCAAAAGCAAGCACAAATAACACTACAAACCAAACCCTACCAACCGGAAAAAAAACCCACAGTATAAGGGGGTTAGGTCTATAATTTAAATCGGTTCTTCCAATCCCTCCCTCAGCTTACTCATTAGCCATAGAGTTTGCAAATCTTTGGATACATCTCAAGAAGAGCTCTCCAGTTGGATGACAAGGATCTAGCCTCCTTAACTCTCCAGTTGGATGACAAGGATCTAGCCTCCTTAATGCAGTTGTCTTACATCCAGGGCCACTAGGATCTTCAAGCATCCATCCTATTACAACTTTGGGATCATCCTCCACTTAAATATGAGTATATGACCAAATCTTAGAGAAGGTAGCAGAATCAATCCTTCAAGTATTGATAGGAACTTAGAACTAAGGAAATTTCTGGATCTAATGGGATCCATTCTCCCATTCTCTCTTTTGTGATTTATTAGAACTCCTAAAATTCCTAAGGGACCTAGGTTACAGATTGAACATCCACCAGAATTTATTTCTGAAAACTTCCCTTGCTGCAAAGTAATCTTTTCTCAACAAATAAATAAATAAATAAATCCCTTGCTGCAAAGTAATATTTTCTCAATAAATAAATAAATCCCTTGCTGCAAAGGAGACTGCTTCTGTGCAATGAAGAGCTTGCCACCACTTGCCAATTCCTTACTGAAAAGTCTTTGAATTTTGAAAACTTAATTGTTGATGAGATTTGTCTGAATGTCTGCAACCCTATGGTTACCTAACTCCCATGCTGAAATTGTTGTTCATGAAGGCATTCAGGGAGGTGGTCCATTTGAAATTTTATGGTAGCTCATAAGGGCAACCAAGAGTGCTTGGGGATTGGTGGTGTTGTCTCAGGAGGTGAAGGAAACATAATTTTGTGCAGTGGTTCTACAGGAAAACCAATCTTCACCATGACAGGTGAGAGTGCTCTTTGTTCATCTTGGGAGACCCTATCTAGAGGAGGCCTTCATCACCATTGATCAAGGGATTCTGCCTATGCTAGTAGACAGGGCCAGGTTTTCAGGTGAGATCCCTCTTAGTACACCTTTTTCGGAGCAAAGATGCTACTGTCTTCCTCCAAAAAATTTCATGGAAAGGGCTTCTTTGGAAAATGTATGTCTATTTGTGGAGTTTGTTCTTGCTCTGTTGCCTCCTTTGTCTCCCCCATGCCAAGGCTTCTGCAGCCCATGTGCACTTTCACAGACTGCTTAGGTGGGGCGTACTATTGGCACCATTGTCCTCCTTGTAGTCTTCAGAAGTTTTTTTTTTTTTTTTTTTTCACATATCCAAGCAGCAATTTTAGTCTATTTTTTAGTATGTGGATTAGTTGGCTACTTGAGTGTGGGCCTTGGTGCAAATGCGCAATGGTTGGGTTGCTCCATTGTGACCTGAGTGACCAGGGTTCAAATCTTGGAAACAGCCTCACTGTGTGCATAGGGGTAAGGCTGTATACACCCCACACCCACATTGGCAGGAGCCTCGTGCACTGGTCTGCCCTAGATTAGTTGGCTACTTCAATTTCTCTGTTGGCTTCTTCTACTTCCACAAGAAAATAGGTTTTATAAGACAATTCTTAAGAGTGGGCTTCTTTCTGTCTTGACCCTGCCCTAGATTAACTGCTTCATTAGTAGTAAATTTCATGCTCTACTTTCAAGGGAGCTTTTTTTTTTTGATAAGTCTACTTTCAAGGGAGACTTATTCCATTGTCATGACCATGGGCTTCTTTCTGTACTAGTAGCAATGCAAAGTGATAGATTCTCAAGTTTAAAGCAGCTATCATTCTTTTAAACTGCAATTGGATGTTGATGTATCTCATTCAGAGTGTCTATGCAATATAGGAAAGTCCTAATTTAGATAAAGTTACCACCACTACATCATCTCCTTTGAAAATTTCCTGTTTTCCCAACTCTTGGGGCAACTATTCGAAGTAGAGGGGGAAAATACTCTCTCAACATTACATTGTTTTAATCTTGCATGCCAAACTTCAAAATTTTATGTGATGGTTAGAAGGTATGGAAGTCATCAGGTGTCCCTTCATCCCCAATATTTTGGCTTCTGCCCGTTCCACTCAAGGTTCAAAGTATTTGAAATGCAAGGTGTACCGGAAAGGTAATTTTAAGAGACGTATCGAGATACGCTTTGGAAACACATAGATATGAACGAAAAATCAAGATACACATGGATACACTAGAAAATCCAAAAAAATCCTTAGAAAAATATATTAACAACAATAAAAATGAGTTTTATGTTATTATAACTAATTTATTTAAACATAAAAACCATACTTTAATAATTTATAAAAAGTATTGGGACATAATTAGCAACGGTTGAAAAGTAATAGAACTGAAATGTATTTGTGTATATATACTAATGTTTATTAGTTAATAATTTTTTTGAAGTCATTTATTAGTTGATATTTATTATATATAGATTTATATAATATTTATCATGTATAGAAGTTAATATATATACCTTAATTTTTAATAAATAAATATAATTTGTATTGATCTTATTATTATATAAATTTTAATAATCAAGTTTTAGCATTTATTGAGAAACATCCACCAAGAGAAGAAAAATAATTTAAGAATAAAAATGCATGCTATTAAGATAAGCAATTAAGGTTGGTATACTAGTTAATTAGTTGTTGTAAATAAATGACTAGGTTCAAAGCTTCTTACCTTCACCTTATGATTTTAACAAGTTATTTGACTTAAGTAGCATTTAATGACGTCATAAATGCCTTAATTAAAGGTAACTCAAATGAGCATTGTAGAGAAGATGGGCCGAATGACCCATAGACTGTTTTCTTATTTCTTTTCTTTGTGTTCTTTACTGTAATGGGCCTCAACATGGGCCTTACTTATGTCTATTTTAAATTATTCGCCCAGTTAAGGGCCTCTCTGTAATTACTGAAATTAAGTTAATGAAAAGGGATTAGGGTGTAAGAGAGGATAAGAATTCGAAAATCTCTCTCTGAACCCTTATTGCTGCTACCTTCTTCCTCCTCCTCTCTCTTCTTGATTCTCTGTTTCTGCTGTTCTCTATCACTTTTCTGCACTATTTTAAACAGTCCGTTTATTTCAGAAGTTTGTTTTTCTTCTTGGTATCAGAGTGGGCTTTCCTTTTCTCTCTTTTCTCTCTTTTCTCCTCTTTCTTCCCATACATAGTGTGTATGGAGAACTGAATCGAATGAATAGTTACAGAATTTTTTTTTCAGCCCAATTGTTAGTGGTTTTTGGAGAGGAAGCTATCCTTGTCGTCACTTTGACAGTATCAAGTGTGTTGCCTGAAACCCTAATTAATTGGAAAAATCTTCTTGCAAGCCCCACAGGGAGTTTGGCCTTGGCTCTTAGTGATTGAAAGACTTCTTGTACTTCATCTTGAAGATCGATTCAAGTAGCTCATTGTTCTGTGTAGTTTACAAGGTGTGGTTAGGTTTTTTCTGTTTCTCCCGGGTTCCAGGTGTGACGTAGTTAACAAGTACGACTGCATAGAGGTTGATTCATAACACATATTTTTTTTCCTGTTTTCATTGATTGTTAATTGAAGTTGTTAGAGGTTATTTTTGGAGTGTTTTAAGAAGATGGAGCCTTCGGAAGTTGAAAACAAGCATGTTGCTGAATCCGGACAGGTTCTGAGGTCCTCTATTGACTTTATACTGGTTGTGACCACAGTCAAGCTAGATGGAACCAATTATCTGGCATGGTCACAATCAGTAAAAAGTTCATGTCTGCAGTAGAGGCAAGTGGGGGTATGTCTCCGGGAGCAAGAAGGCTCCCTCAAAAGATGATCCATCCTATGAAAAATGGATGCAAAAAAATTACACTGTAATTGGATGGTTAGTAAATTCAATGCAACCTCAAATCAGTTAACACTATTTATGGATGAATTCAACAAAGGAAATATGGGACAGTGTTGCTGAAATCTATTCTCAGAAATTAAATGTAGCCAGGGCATATAAGTTGAGGAGTGATGTGAAAAATTTAAGGCAGGGGGAGAGACCTTTGGCTGTTTATTTCTCAATGCTGAAATCTCTTTGGCAAGAAATTGACTTGATGGAAACTGTTGCCTGGAAAAGTACTAATGATGCTGAAACCTACAAAAAATTAGTTGAGAGAAACAAGGTTTTTGAATTCTTGACGGGGCTGAATCCCGAGTATGACATCATAAAACATAACGTCTTATCCAAGGATAGTGTTTCATTGTCTCAGGCCTATGCCTTGGTGAGTAGTGAAGAAAGTAAGAGACTAGTCCAGGTTCAAGGGGCTGATCTAAATGACCACTTTGCTAACATGGGGCTGAAACCTAAGGGAACTACATGAAGTCCAGATGGTTCAGGTAAGAAGGAAGTTATTTGTGAGTACTGTAAGAAACCAAAGCACACAAAAGACAAGTGCTGGAAACTGCATCCGGAGCTTCTTCCCCTTCGTTTCCAAAAGAAGACTAATAATATGAAGACAGGAAATGCCTAAACGAAGAGAGGACCGCTAGTGAACAGTTAGCAGTTATGAAGGCAGAATATGAGAAGTATGGAAGGATGATCAGTCACCTAGAGAGTGTTGCCTCTTCTTCCAACCCTCCAGGAAATTCAACTTCTACATTTGCTCATTCAGGTATACGAGCTTCTGCCAATCATGCAACTATCTCAGGTAATCGTAGGATCCCTTGGATTATTGATTCTGGTGCTTCTGACCTAATGACCAGCCTTTTCACCTTTTTTATTTCTTATGATTTGCTTCCTGGCCGTGATAAAATCACCCTAGCCGATGACTCTCTTGCTCCTATCTTTGGCAAGGGAACCATCAAGGCTACAGACTCTCTGTTACTTCCTTTTGCTCTTCATGTCTCCAAACTAAATACAAATTTGTTATTTGTAAGTAGCCTAACTAAGTCTTTGAATTGCAATGTAACCTTTTTTCCTTCTTATTGTGTTTTTCAGGATCTGGTGTCTCAGAAAGTGATTGAGAGTGGCCATGAGGCAAATGGAATATATCTGTTGGATACTCCTAGACAGAGCCAAGGACAACCTGGGAAAGCTACCTTTGGATCTACATCTTCAGAGTTTGTCAGTCGTGTCATGTTATGTCATTTTCATTTGAGTCATCTTTCTTTTTCTACATTGAGTCATTTATTCCCAGAACTATTTAAGGGAATTAATTTGTCCAGTCTTCATTGTGAGTCGTGTGAGTTGTCAAAACATTGTAGAAGCAGTTACCCTTTGAGTATAAAAGATCTTCTTTTCCATTCCATATTGTGCATTCTGATGTGTGGGGGCCTTACCACCTACCCTTTATGGGTGGCTATAAATATTTTATCTTGTTCATTGATGTTTTATCACAATATACTTAGATATTTTTTATGGAGACCCGTGATGAAGTTGTTCCATAAATTTGTTCTAACCCAATTTGATACTAGAATCAAGATTTTTAGATCCAGCAATGCAAAAGAATATTTTGAGACAAACCTAACTTGTTATCTCACTGATTTGGGGTTATTCACCAAAGTTCTTGTGTTAGGACTCCAAAGCATAATGGAGTTGCTGAAAGAAAAAACCGACACATTGTTGAAATTGCAAGAAGTATCCCGTTTGCCTCACATGTCCCTACAAGATTTTGGGGGGATGCTGTTTTCACTGCAACCTACCTAATCAACCGTATGCCATCTAGAGTGTCGGGTTTTAAGTCTCATTTTAGTCTCTTTCATCTAGGCAATGACCTTTTTCCTATTCCACTCCATGTCTTTGGCTGCACTTGTTATGTACACATTCCAAGTACCCAAAGACATAAATTTGAACCAAAGGCCCACAAGTACATTTTCCTTGATTATGCCTCCACACAAAAGGGTTATTGTTGTTTTGATCCAAAGTCTAGAACTCGGTTTGTCTCAATGGATGTCACCTTTGATGAGTCTTCTTCTTTCTATGATCCTTCTTTGGAGAAGCATTGTCCAAAGGGGGAGAATTTGTCACAGTTGTTTGCTCTCCCCCTTCCTGTCCCAGTTGAGTCTTCTTTTGAGCCCCCTTCTACTTCAAATGAGTCAAGGGAGAAACAGTCATCTTATTCTCTTTCCAATATTCCTATTCCTTCTCCGTTACCTCCTCATCCTCTTTTTAATCCTAGGTTGTACCAACGGCAGAGAACTAGAAGTGGGCAGATTGTTTCCCCTACACCACATGAGCCTCCTACACTTTCAGTCACAGAAGAGACAACAGGTACTTCTACAGTCCCTTTGGAGCCATCATTCCCAGACCTTGATATCCCTATTGCTATCAGAAAATGTAAAAAGAAGTGTATTACACATTGCATTTCCAAACACCTTTCTTATAGTTTGCTCTCTCCTTCGTATTTTGGCTATCTTTCTTCTGTTGCTTCTAACCCAATACCCATGTTAGTGCCAGAAGCTCTTACTATTCCAGAATGGAGGGATGCTATGAGAACGGAAATTGATGCCCTGCATAAGAATGACACTTGGGAAGTGGTTGATTTTCCTGAAGAGAATGAACTAGTGGGCTGTAAGTGGGTTTTCACCATCAAATATCATGTTGATGGCACCATTGAAAGGTACAAAGTTAGGCTGGTTACAAAAGGTTATACGCAGACATATGGAATTGACTATCTGGAGACCTTTGCTCCTATTGCAAAGATGATCTTTGTGAGGGTTCTGCCATCTCTGGCTGCACATTCAGATTGGCCACTTTACCAGCTGGATGTGAAAAATGCATTCCTGAATGGAAAGTTACACGAAGAGGTCCATGTCTCTTCCTCCAGGGATATATGGCACAGATATGGAGGGAAAAGTATGCAAGATGCAGAAATCTCTTTATGGACTTAAACAGTCACCTAGGGCATGGTTTGAAAGGTTTAGGTTTTCCCTTGTTAACTTTGGCTATATACAGACTCAGTCTGATCATACCCTCTTTGTGAAGAGGAGAGGCTCTTTGGCAATATATCTTATTGTCTATGGTGATGATATAGTTGTGACTGGTAATGATGTAACATGGATTAATGATCTTAAGTCTTTCCTTCATACAAAGTTTGAGATCAAAGATTTGGGGGAATTAAGGAGTATTGTTGAACATGGTCATATGAAACTGGAGGCTTACACAGATACTGATTGGGCCGGAAACATTGATGATAGAAGGTCAACTTCTGTGTACTGTAGCTTGGTGGCAGGTAATATTATTTCTTGGAGAAGCAAGAAACAATCAGTTGTTGCCAGATCTTCAGCTAAAGCTGAATGCAGAGCCATGGTTCATGGAGTTTCTGAGCTACTTTGGCTTTGATCCTTGATGGGGGAACTGGGTATTGAGTATGATAAGCCATTAATGTTATATTGTGATAATCAGGTTGCCATCAACATTGCTCATTATCCGGTGCAACATGACAGAACCAAACATATTGAAGTTAACATACATTTTATTTGAGAAAGTGTGGCTTCTGGAGAAGTTTGTCCACCATTTATCTCTTCTGAAGGACAATTAGCTTATTTCCTTACCAAGGGCATCCCCAAGGCCAAACTTCAGCATGATACTGGAAAGCTTGGCATGATTGACATCTATGCTCAGCTTGAGGGGGAGTGTAGAGAAGATGGGCCAAATGGCCCATAAACAGTTTTCTTATTTCTTTTCTTTATGTTCTTTGCTGTAATGGGCCTCAACATGAGCCTTACTTGTGTTATGTCTATTTTAAATTATTTGCCCAATTAAGGGCCTCTTTGTAATTACTGAAATTAAGTTAATGAAAAGGGATTAGGGTGTAAGAGAGGATAAGAATTCGAAAATCTCTCTTTGAACCCTTATTGCCGCCACCTTCTTCTTTTTTTTTTTTTTTTTATCAATAGCACGGAAATGGTCCAATACGAAGGGAAATTAAATTCGGTTGATACATAGCACGTATCGGTCCGTTTCGAGATTGTATCGGCCGATACATACCTGAAATGGTCCAATACGAGTGAAAAAGTACGAAACTATCGAATTCTGTATGTTTCATGTATCAGATCTCTTCTGAAATGAGCTGATTCGGGCCGATACGTTTGCAAAATTTTAAACCTTGGTTCCATTGTGTTATCTTTTTGAAGCTTCTGCAACCATATTAATTCTTGCTCTTTCAATCTGGCCATTTTACCATAGAAAGGATCATTTCTAGGTGCAAAATAAAAGTTTGGGCTGATGAGCATGAGATGAGAATATGGTTTCAAGTCTGAGATTCTGAGGGTAGCCACTGTGTGAAAAATAAAAAAGGAAAAAATAGAAAGAAAAGAAAAGAAAAAAAAAGGACAAAAGGTTAAGGGCATATCCAGTTCACCCCTCATAAGACCATACAACCAGGACCAACATTGGGTGGTGACCCTGTAGTCATACATACAATAAGAGAAACGGAGAAGCTTTCAATCAAACTTCCTATAATCTAGTTACCTCCAAGTGAATTTAGATTTCTTTCATGGGTCAAATTAGGTTCTAATCTTTTTATACAAGACAATTCTTGCCATGTATAAACATCATATCCTGTAGATAGAATTGATCAAATCCAATTTCTTTGGTTGCCAGGCCATTCCATGAAATCAATTTTCAATTCCCAACTTCCTAGGAATATTGATTTTTCCAAAGACGTGAGACTCGTGATGATTTATTTATGCGGGGAGGAGTGCTTCCTTCTCATCATCCAACTCAATTTCAGCAAAAAAGGATAAATAAATAAAATGAAGTAAAAAATAAATTCTAGTCCATTGAAAGTTTACAAAAACAGTATTTTTTGTGGCAATATGATGGAAATCATGGGAAATGTCAATCCAGGAAATTGTTTAACATCTAGTATCTTCCTAAAATGCTTGGGTGAAATTCTTCATTGCTATTAGCCAGCATGGCATCAATAAGACCAAATATGATGATGACCCAGTAGAGATGAATCTCGGGAAGTAATGGATGCTATGAACTAGATAAAGGTTTCCTAGTTGCTGAAAGTTATGTAGGGGATGTTGCTTGGTGTAATGGTAAAACCTTGGGGTAACAAGCATGAGAGCATGGTTTCAAGTGAAAGCAGCCACTTTGTGTAAAAAATGCATGCCAAAGGTTATGTCTGTATCCAGACCCTTCCCAGGATCCCAGGTAGCTGGGACCAACACTTGATAATGGCCTAATTAGTCGATAGAAAAGACATATAAGGCACAGAGGTCAAGTTGTTTGTTGTAGATTCACCAGAAATGCTTTGTAATATTTTCAATGTATGAGATCAGGTACCAGATGCTAGAGGTTCCTGGGTGATTGTGAGTGATTGGTTTCTCCCCGATTTCCTGCTGATGCATTGGAACTTATTGGATGAGGTCTTCGCCAACCAAGAGGCGATGTCAAATTTTACCTGGACAAGGAATGATTCTGTTTGGGGTCCAGGCTCTACAGTCTATACCTTTGTGTACCAGGAGACTGTGCTGCCAATCCCTCCTCCCCCTCCCACCCCACCCCAAGCTAACAAGAGAAATGCCAGTAACTAGTGAATGATAGAATAGAGAATCCCTGGAGAGAGGAGTATTCTTCCCAAACTGAGCCGTACTGTTTAAAGGTCCATATGTTGTGCATTCTGAAATTATATACTTAAAGAAGAGTGCTTTGCTTAAATCCAGAAGTTTTATCTTTGTAAAATTGATACACTCTACGTGCATAATTGTAATTCATGATATAGATATTCATTTATGGCAAATAAGCAAATAAGCAAGGAGATGGTCGAAAACTATAAGTGTCACTTCAAGAATGTGTGGTTTCGGAACTCAATGCATGTCCAACATGGACAGTATAATCAACCTAATGCTTATGCCCCATTGAATTCCTGATGAACTTTCTAATGCACGAAGTATGTTTCCTTTTTTATTTTTAAATTTATGAAGATCCTTTTTATTTTATATAATAGTAATTTTAACGTTTAACTGGTTCTTTTCAGCTGGATACTAAACGCCGAAGGAGGTGACTATTACGTGTATAAAAACATATACGCAGCTCAGCAGGATAAGAACGTATTCAAGAAATTGTTAACTCTTTTTTTTTTTTTTTAAACCTTGGGAGGACCACCACACTTTGTTGTAAGAGTAAGAGTAGTTCCATTCCCATGGGCCATGACAGTGCTTATCCTTTGACGATGGAGGTGTCTGTTGGTTTGTAAATAAATAGTGGATGGTTTGTACATAAAATGGTGTCTAGTCTAAATGGTTGGATCTTATGCAGTGTAAGGTACACCATATCTCCCCTTCTTCTTCTTTGTGTTTTTTTTTCAAAAATTTTTCGTGTATCCTCTACGGTTCTAAACAATCTAACACAAATCATTTTAGAGACTACATGGCTACATGCCTTTTCTCATCAACTACCCCAATTTATTGGTATTGCCTAGACCTAGAGAGGAGCGGCTTCCCAGGAGGGGTGGATTCGAGCTGAGCCAAGCCGAATAGTACCAGGCTTGAGTTCGAGCTCAGTTTAAGTAAAAAATTTGTAAGCTTGAGCTCGATTTGAGAAAAAAATGTTAAATAAAAATAAAAGTTATATATAATTTTTTTACTTGATATTTAAATAATTAAGAATTATAATATTTTTATCAAGGTTAAAAGTATCGACACTAATCGGTCCGTATTGATCGATAGGTATCGTTCTGAGACCCCTCTGATATGCCCTTAAGGTGGGTGCATCAGGGGTCTGACCGGTTCAGGGGGTGGAGAAGCCCTAAATCAGCCCCCTGAACTGGTTTTGGAAAAAAAAAAGTAAAAAAAGGGTATCGATTTGAGCATATTGATATTTTGAACCTTGATATATATATATATATATAAGCTTGGCTCGAGCTCGGTTGAAGCCGAGCCGAGATCGAGTAATTCATGAAGAGCTTGGCTCATAGCCACCCTTACTTCCTAGTTCTCACCCATTGTTATATATATATATATATATATATATATATATATATATATAAGCATTGATTTTAAGTTACAATGTTCATACCAAACATAATACTACTCAAATCACTTGTTAAACGCCTAATGAGTATAAGTACCAACCAATCAAGTGTTTTGACATGAAATGTCATTCCTTTTTTAAACATTTGAACCTAAAATCAATGTTTAAAGTATTGATACGTATTGGCTCGTATCGGTCGATATATATCGTTTTGAGACCTTTTCGATACGTCTCTATAATGGGTGTATGGGGTATGACCGGTTTAGGGGGTGGAGGAGCCCTAAACCGGCCCCCCTGAATCGGTTTAAAAAAAAAGGCACAAAAATATGTATCGATTTGCTTGATACACTGGTATAGCCCCTACCGGCATATCGAACATATCGACATTTTCAATGTTGCCTAAAATGGCAATTGTACCAAACACAACTTCAATTGTGTGGAGGCACATACACTATGATAAGTGGCTACTATGGGGTGTGCTATTATTGGTTAGGGTTATATCTTATACTAGCCTATGAGAAACATACACAGTATAGGAAAACCTCGACCTCTCATTGAAAGAATGGTAGGATCCATCTAATGGACGCCATAAAGGTTGCGGAATGGGTGGGCGAATTTCAAAAATTTCCTACCTTCTCCCAACTAAGAATCATATTCCCTAAATTTAGAATACAATATTCAAGGATCTACTTGAACCCTAATCAAACCAGATCTGTACCAAAAGATAAATGGGAGGATTATACCTGATCC